CGTCTTTCCTGCAACGGCAGTTTTTCTGTATTTCCTCTATCCTGTAATATGACTTGATAGCTTTAAACTCCGCACACTGAGCTCTGATTGGTCAGCAGGCGGTGCTTTCACTGAGTTGATCTCTTAGCCTGCCACCTAAGCGAAAATCCTGCTTCGTAGTCCAGGCCTCTGGTGAGTTGATTATTTACTGGTTATGTTGGTTGTTACCGTCAGAGATAATAAAACCCTCCCTGCTGATACTGAAGGCTGTAAAACATTCAAATAGAACAAACTGAACTTCTGTCGTGATCAGTGGCGGCGCCAGGGTATGGCTGGGGTAGGCTACAGCCATACCAAGAAATGGCTTAGCCCCACCTTAGCCCCACCATGAAAAGTGATGCAAATTCAATTAAATAATAAGCGAAATGCTAAATGTTGAGAACACGGATTGCGAAAATATACGGGTCGTGTCCACAGCACACAAACTGATCCTGCTGTAACAACAAGTGCACGTTACTGATGCAATATGGTTGAGACCATTCGGGCTTATGCTATAAGAGGGGTGCAAGGAATAGTCTAAGTAGTGGGGGAGTTTTATACACTAAAGGTGTGGAAATTCTCTGGCGTTATAATATCAGCGCGGCCGCAGTCAGATCAAAATGCCTCCGAATGCAATTTGAATAGACCTACAGCCAATCAGAGCAACGCAACGTTGGATCTGCGTCATGCCTTATTGATTGAGATCAATCGAAACCGCCATTCAGTATCCCCATTGGATCTTCAACGTGTACTATCATACGTCCGTTCACAGTGATCCCTTTTTATTTACTACAAGACAAATGTGCCGTTTTATTTCATACAGTTCCATTTTGATTGAGACAGGGAAATAATCTAAACCTCACGCGTGGCGTTTCACTGTCAAGGGGGGCGATATAGCGTGTATGTAATTACATTGCAAATACTGACTTGAGCACCACCACTGTATGGGTTAGCCCTACCATAGATTACCCAACAAAAATGCTCTGGCGCCGCCACTGGTCGTGATGACCAGCAGCAGGTTTTAGATACATTTGTCATCATGAGGTAGAATTTGGGGACAAAAAAAACTTTAAACACACACACACACACACACACACACACACACACACACACACACACACACACACACAGCGCAGAACAACAACAAACACATGAGACTGTCAGTGTTTGACATTTGATTTTACTTAAAAAAATGTACATCACAATTTAAGAAGAGCAATCATTTCATTTAAAAAACGTCCACCTATGTATACAACGACACCAGTTTATAAAACCATTGTATCCGAAAGACAGCAGCCGACAGAAAAGTTCACAACGTTCACGTAAACGAGACGAAAGCAGAACCCGAGAAACCACAAAATAAACCGGGGAAGATTTTCATAAAAGTTCAGACAATCAAACCTTTTTTTATTTAAATAAGGAATACCATTTGGCAAAGAAAGAGCTTAACTGGACCAATACAAATACCTATTGAAACTGATAAATAATGTTACTAAGTCTGAGTTTTGAGCGCAACTTAGAAACAAATATTCATGTTCAGAAATTGTACGTTTAATCATTTTAAAGACGATAGACTTACCCATTCTGCACAGTTGTTTTTCTGTCAAATGTGGAACTTTTTCATTGAAATAGAGTGAATTTTAAGTCAATAAAATGGTTAAATGCTGGATTTTTCCCTTTGAAGCTGTGGTGGAGAGGAGGACACTGAACAGGCTGTTGTCCATCATGGATAACCCCACCCATCCTCTCCACCTGCAGCTGGACAGTCAACGGAGCTCCTTCTCCAACAGACTGCGGCAGCTCCCCTGTCACAAGGACAGATACTGGAAAACATTCCTGCCCACTGCAATAACACTGTACAATAAATCACCTCTGGCTGGAAGAGAACTCTCTGCTCCATAGTTTCTCTGAAATAAAACCACGTTGTACATTTTACTCATACATAATCTGTTTAATACTCCATATTCCATATTCCATATGTCATATATTTTTGAATATATATATATATTTGTATATATAATATCTGCACGTATATTTTCTATTTCAACATGTATATTTTCTATTTTATTTTTCTTTCTATTCTTGTTTATTTTGTAGTTTTGTTTTATTGTAAAATGCCTTGTCTTTTATGCTGCTGTAACAAAAACAATTTCCCAAATTGGGATCAATAGAGTACGATCTTATTTTATCTTATCTTATCTTATCTTATTAAAAGCTTTCAGATTGAAAATACAAATACAGACATGATTTAAACATAGCTGCATTAGCTGGGTAACAGACACTTAATCAGGCTGCAAACAAATATAATTTAAGGTCCAATTTAAAAAGCCTGACTAGTGTTAGAGAAAAAATAAACATAGGACATTCTGATGGTACGGAGCCCCTAAAGGGACAGAGAGAAAAAAAAAGTTGGGATAACGGGTTACTATCTTGTGCGCACGAGAAACGAACCCGTAATACCGACTTTTTTTTTTTGTTTGTTGAGAAAGTTAGGAAGTAGGAAGTGGAGCACACAGGAGACAACCATTTCATTGCAGACTGTTGTGTTTATGTGGGGAAATGACAGTGCATACATTATTTGAGATAGGCCTATGTTTCGAACTCAGACTTAATTTTAAGGACATTTAAGGTCTGCTTTGATCTATGAATTAATGTCCGTGACTCTCAGAGTACCTGCTGCCCGCAGCTGTTTTAAAGGGAAACAAACACTCAGAACACATACACACAGAGCATAGCTGAGCAGAGCAGAGCACACACACATCATGCGCCCTGGTGACCGGACATCTCCTTCCTAAAACTAATAAAAGGGGGAGTAATCGGGCAGTTCGATGTGTGTGTGTGTGTTTAGAGGTGTGTGTGGTTAAAACGTAGCAGCCTGCGGTCACTCTTTAGCTGTTCTAATGAAGGTAAACACAGTGTAGGCGGTGCGTAAAAGCTCTTTGCGCGCTGGTGCTGCTCTTCTCAGAGTCTGAGTTACACGTCCCGCTGCCTCCTGGAGTGACCGCATGCTGCTATGTTTTAACCATACACCCCTTCATTGTAAACATAATATTCTGCAATGAAATGGTTGTCTCCTGTGTGCTCCACTTCCTACTTGGCGCACCGGTAAGTTTCTCAAAAAGAAAAAAAAAGTCGTGATAACGGGTTAGTATCTTGTGAGTAAGATACTAACCCGTTATCCGGACTTTTTTTTTTCTCTCTCTAAAAATAACAAGGTTTTTTTTCTGTGGCGGCTCATTAAGGTCAGATTGATAGGAAATTGAGCTTTGTACAAAGTCAAAAAGAAAAGCTGAATTGAAGAAAATACTTCATTGTGTTGTTTTAACTTCTTTAGCTTTAGCCGATTAGCTCGGGTTAAAGAAACTAAAGTTAATCAGATCAGAAAAAACCTTGAATATTTATAGATATGTTAATATTCATATATTTTAGCTTCTTTTGAACATCCTAGCTATAGTAAAATATAACTTAACTGTGATTTAAAAAAGGTTTTAGGTCAGTTCCAGTTGTTTAGCTTCAGCCGATTAGCTAGTGTTAAAGAGGCTAAAGCTAACAATCCCCTTAAATGTTTATATATTACAACATACATATATTTAAGCCTCTTCATTTATCTCTCAGCTAAAGTAAAATATATCTTAACTGTGATAAAAAAGAAAAGCGGTCCAGGTCAACGTTTCAATCGGTTAGCTTGTCGATTAGCATCAAGCTAGGAGATGAGGTTCAAAGAAATGGACAGAAATGTAATATTTTAAGTTTGTTTGTGGCTCTTTTTAGTTTTTTTAGCCATAATTTCTTAAATTATTGACTGTGAAGAAAGCTAAAGCATAAGAAGTATGGACAATGATTAAACAAAATGTATGTATTACAGGTTGTGTCTGTTATATTAGCATTAGCTTTTACATTTTTAGCCAAAATAAAAGCTCCCCTGCAGTCGATTTTGTGGTTTCATTAAATCTTTCAGCACATTCATATAGAAACAAACAGTGTCCGCCCACCACATTAAAAACCCAACATACTATAATACAAACTGGCTGTAAGGCTTAGTACAATACAGAGTTACATCATGTTATAAATCCCTGAAGATATGATGTAAAGTGGTTCAAACACGGAGAGTAACGTAAAAACATTTCTCATTAATACCAGAAAATGTAATATGTTCATATTTCAGCACTAACACATTGTTAAGATGTTCAAGTATAATATTCATGATGTAGTGTAAAGACACTAAAGGAAATAAGTACGATTTTAGTGTTTTAAACTGCTAAGTAGAAAAGAAAAGGTGATTTTCATAACTCAAAGAGGGTCAAAATGTTATGTTTTGTACCAAGTACTGAACTGTAATGACCAAATAACAAGACATATTTGAAGCCAACTTTTATGGATTATATATAAACCATTTAAAAGTGCAAAAATGTCAGGAATTATGCTGTTTTTAGTCTCAAATATGGTCATTTCCTACTATCCTTTGCTTTTTTAATCATACTAAAGGGAATATTTATGTTAAAAGTTAAGATTGGAAGAGATCATTAACTCAAAGGGGGACATATTGCCCCTTTTCGTACAATGATTTAGAGCAGGGGTGTCAAACTCAAGACCCGGGGGCCAAATCCGGCCCGCAACTTTATTTTATGTGGCCCGCAAGAGCTCTGAAAGAAGACAATACGTTTATTATACGGTTACATGCCGCTTTACAGTAGCACGTTGCCCATAAACTACATGAACCATAATGCATCTCATTTTGTGACATGCGCAATGAAGAGACTTTCAATCATTTGTCCTAAACTTCTGCTTTCAGACGTAGTTAATTATGAAGTTATCAGATAATAATCCAATGCAGAGGCAATAATGTAATATAATACATTATTTTATATATTATATATTTATATAGTCTTAAAGTTGCAACCGGCCCTTTGAGTGAACCATAATGTTAATGTGGCCTATGATGACATTGACACCCCTGATTTAGAGCAACAATGGCTAGTTGACAAACAAAATTGACAGTAAAATAATTTTCTGATAATACATTTATAATTTTAAGTAACTTTTTATGCAAAAATGGCAGGATGTGTTTCTAAATCTTAAATTTGCCAATTTCCTTCTATTCTTTACATTTTATCGTCGTAAGTGAATATTTATGTTAAGTTTTTGAGAGATCCTTAACTCAAAAAGGGTCATAAGTACCAGTAACTCTTTTTTTTGAACCGTCAAAAGTCATTCATTACCAAGAAAATCCATATATAGTTAAAACCATTTTTTAAAAACTATTACAAATTATTGTGCAGCTTTCATTTTGATTTACAATTACAAATGTCAACATAATGGATGTAGATTCAAAATATTGGGTACAGCCCATAGACTGTATCTCTGGTACAGCCGTATTATACGCGGTTAATTAAGATCAATATCCTTACGCCTTCTGGACAATATTCGTTAATATGCAGGACATTATTCCAGAGATAAATACCGGACATAATTGAGGATTTATCAATTAATTAGCACTAAAAATGTACCTTATTGTTTCCTGTTTTGTGGGAACTTGTTTAAGAAGTCATTGGTGACAAAAAATCTGTGATTTAACGTCACTGGATTATTTAAAAACTGGTTAATTAACAGTATAACAGTCCCAGTGTGTGTGTGTGTGTGTGTGTGTGTGTGTGTGTGTGTGTGTGTGTGTGTGTGTGTGTGTGTGTGTGTGTGTGTGTGTGTGTGTGTGTGTGCGTGTGTGTGGCGGCAGCCTTGTGAAGGTGTTACTACGTCTCTGGTTCGATGGCTGTTGCCGCGGAAACGATTTTCGTGTGCTGGTTAAAGATGGCGTCGAAGGCCTCGTCTCTGTGGATCATCGCGCCGAACACCATCGGCTGCAACAAGACAGGAAGTGAGTTCAATTCAGAGGTACTAATACTTTACTTAACATGTAATCTATCAATTAAATGTATGTATACAATATAACTGGAGGGAACACAGGGATTTCACCCTAACCCAAGGGAAAGACCCCAGAAAGGCATGCAACAAGACATCACTATGTAACACTCGCGCTTCTATTGGCTAGCGCTCCGACACATTGTACGACGTGAGAGGACTCTTTAAAGTAGAGACACTACATACTGATATACACCTGAACATCAGCAGGAGAGGACTCTTTAACGTAGAGACACTACATACTGATATACACCTGAACATCAGCAGGAGAGGACTCTTTAAAGTAGCAACCCTGTCTCCTAGAAATTACGTTCCCACAAAACTAAACTGCATTCTCAAATACGTTTCGCAAGAAACGTATTTCCTTCCACGTTACGTTTGTTATGAACATATCTTAAATACGTTTATTTTCTACATATCTTCTAGAAACCTATTTTCTCCCACATGACGTTTGTTATGAACGTATCTCAAATACGTTTGCTTTCTACCTATATTTGCCATTTCTTTTCTAGCTTATAATAATGATAATAGTAATTTATTAATATCATTTTAGAGCAAACTTATTTTCGCGCTGGCTGGCGGCTCACTGTTCAGTTTACCAAATCCGTTATTATGCTGGTTAATGGTTAATAATCACAATATTGTTTGTAGTCGTTTCATACAGCATTCTCAATTACGTTTAACAAGAAACTTATTTTGTCCAACGTTACGTTTGTTCTGAACATATCTTAAATACGTTTGCTTTCTACCTATCTTTGACATTTCTTTTCTAGCTTATAATAATGATAATAGTAATTTATTAATATCATTTTAGAGCACACATTTGAAATCGACGATCGGGCTTGATATCCTATGGTTAAATTAAAATCAGTAGGCGAGGCTGTAATTTCGCCAGCTGCGAGGCAGAAAATAATAGTTTTAACATGCCAAAAAGCTGCTGTGTCGTTTATTGCACCTCAAACATTAAAACAAATCCAGAGTTACGTGTTTCTGTACTTCCTCTAAGAAGAAAGGACAGTATACAACAGAAGAGCTCTGTGGCTTCAGGCTTGATCGCCGTTCAAATGACAGCTGGTTTCCCCAAAAGTGGGCAGGGCTGTAAAGTGACGTAGGAAAGATCATCAGCTCGCTGATTGGATGTTTTAGCCGCAATGCACGTCGGGATATGGTGTTAATGCGATATGAAATCCGAAAAAAAAATCAGAGTTTAGGATGGCCGAAGACACTACACTACCCATAATCCCCAGCTATCGTTTGGGACTACAGTCCCGTTGACAAACCCCGTGATTAATCTTCAAGCTCTGGGATTGGATGTTGGAGTGGCAGTGCGCCAAGGTTACGCCGAGCGCCAAACAGCTCTTTGAAATGGAACGAAACCACGGCAGACTTTCCAAAACTGGACTCGAACGCCCCCCCAGAACTACATTGTGTTTCGCAACATGTTCTATGGCACGTCTCTACTGGGAATTGTAGTTTTAAAAGACGTTTTCGTTTTTCCCAAAATTAGAAGTTGACAGTATTAAACTGTGTACAGCCCTGGAGGTTTAGGGGATAGGAAACAAATTGGTGTGTACAAATGTAAAACATGTAATTAATAAATGGGTGAAAATCGCTTGTGTCCATAATGGGAAGCATTAATATATACCCACATGCCAGCTCATTGTTACTTTGTAATTCTACTCCACTACAATTCAGAGGTTAACCTGGTATGTTTACTCCACTACATTTATTTTAGTTACTTTGCAGATTCTGATTAATGATGTGAAATATAAACAACCCTTAAAGCAGACTTTAGTTACACCTGAGTAAAATTCAGGGAAAGGTGATTGTCAAGTGCCAACAATCAGGAGAGATATTAGTTGGTGCTTGAGAAGACTAAACATTTATCTGCAGATCTCTATAAAGTATATTCATTACTCGTTATTCTCTACTAATAGTTCATTAAAAACTGTATATAATAGCTATTTTGCACATCCCTTTCAAGATTTTCTAAGGTTTATTGACATATCATATACACCACTATGTTGAAGTTATGCAATTAATGAAAAACTTGGGTCACAGGTTCCTCAACAGTGCATTACAAGACATCTATCAATATGTGTGTATTCCTCCACCATTAAACTCAAATTCTGCACATGTCTTATACTATCTACATACATAAGAGTATAATTAATATATATATATAATATCAGTTAAAATAAGTGCTTCAACACAGTTAACATTGCAGGAAAGCAATATATTAGACGTTAAGTACTTTGTCAGGCTTAATATTTATCTGTAGATAGATATCCCCAAAGCTTTTTTCTTATTTGAAAGAAAACCTAAAGTATTCTTTAATGTGTTAATAAAGGTTAATTAGTTTGTCTGTTTTGCACATCCTCATATTAATATCTTTGTACATCAGGCACTAAACTGTTTTATTGTAGAGATCACTTACAGTATCTTCTTGATTTTTTATATTCTATATTTCTATCATTGACCTTCTACTTTCCCCCTATGAAAGTATGTACTCTTAATATTTTATTCATCAAATAACATTATTCAACAAAAATAACATTATTCAACAAAAATAATTAAATAACGTGCTTTAACCACTAGGCGGTGCACACAAGGTACACACAGTATACTAATAATAACTTTGTATTATTAGTGTAGGACACTTATGTATGTATAACATCTGAAGATGTGTAGTTGTATTCATGTTTTTACATAATTGTACAGGATATTGCTATATTATTTCTCATGTTTACTTCTACACATTAATATCTGATTTGTAAAACATCACAGACAGAAAGGTATATCCGTCATTTAATGGTAAGCTATTGAAATTGTGATTCCATAGATGTGTCTCCCATCACCCAAATCCCCTGACTATTCTCTCAACTCAGTATTTACATTCTTATATTCAAAGAAAATTAGTAATATCTTTAAAAACTACAAGTCCTTTTCTATCAGCTGTGCACCGTTATGGTGTAAATATAACCTATCTACCAATTGGATCAAATATAAAAGTCAGCCGAATTAGTATTGATACTGCAAGGAGACGTATTTTGCGAAAAGAAATGTAAGATGTTGTTTAATTGCTGATATATTTATGATCCACGTCACGTATTCAGTTTCGGCGGCAGTTCTTCCTGTTTGTCCAGAAGTCTTCTCATAAGGGCTCTATAAATAAAGAACTATGGCAGATGTGTAATATTTAATGCAGCCGAACCGTGTATTACAATGCCGTTATGTGATGACTTTCAAAGAGAAAAGCAAGAACACTCGGAATAAAGTATTATTATTATTTTTTTTAATGTTTTTGGATTTCACATCGCATAAACACCATATCCCAACGTGCATTGCGGCTAAAACATCCAATCAGCGAGCTGAGGATCTTTCCTACGTCTGTTTCCGGTATTGTTCCTGTAATGAGAGTTCACATTTATGCTACATTGAAGGGTGGAATTGACTACTAGTGATGGGAATTATGGCTCTTTGAAGGGAGCCGGATCTTATGGCTCCGTTCCTTTCAAAGAGCCGTTCAAAAGAGCCGTTCAAAAGAGCCGTTTTTTTAAGGTTACTAGGTTTATCTGCAAAATAATCACCAGGATAATGATTGACTGTATTGCCAGACCTAATGTCAATAATCGGCATTGTAAACATGACACAAGGTGGCGCCATATCCATGTCATCATGTCAGTGAATGTACTTTGAATTTACCCTCTGTATGTGTTAAGTAAATAAAGTTGCCTTGCCTTGAATGAAATTCATGCAACTCTTAATATTAGATACTGTGTTTTTAAGTGGCGATGGAGATTATTTGTTGATCCTGCTTTAAAGGATATTTTGCCTTTACAAATGGTGCGCTTTATCACTGACTGGGTTTTGGTTGAAGTGAATCCAAATGCTGCTGCGTTTTCGCGTTTGGCTCATTTTCCATCCGAAAAACACGTTGTCTACCTGTCCTGTACCACTTGGTATGACTTCTCTCTCGCGTATTCCGTTAAGACCCACCCCATCTCACTCCTCGTGCTGAAACCTACCAAACAGAGTAGGGGCGGGTCTTCACAGAATACGTTTGGGGAACAAAATCAAGCTTTTAAAAGGAGAGTGGATTTTGGCAGGCAGTGAGTGCGGACCAACGATTGAACGATAACAAGAACGGCTCTCACCAAGTACGACTCGGTTCCCCTCGTTCGTACCAAAGAGCCGTTCAAAAGAATCGGCTCGTTCGCGACCGACACATCACTATTGACTACACATCTTCAGAAACATAATTTGCTTCAGATATACTGTAACTCATAGCAATATTGTAACCATTAAGAAAAGCCAACTGCATTAAAAACCCAGTTAACAAACACAAGGTAAAGTATTTTTCCTTCAGTAATGAAGATGTAATTCCAATGTAGACACACCTAGGGTCGCTGTTCAGTCTGTTACGCTGAGCCATGCATTGTCTGGAACGTAAAAGGGACGAAGAAGACAAAGTGAAGTGACGTACTTCCGGTTCAATGTGAAAACATTCCCAGTTAAACCATAGATATATATAAAAACATATGTTTATATATATCTATGATACAAATCGCTTAATAAAAAGATAAAACACTGGCATGTAATTTACGTTAGAATAAATAGAATAGTTTTGAATAATAGATGAGAGTAAAATCTACGTCACTTTACAGCCCCACCCACTTTTGGGGAAACCAACGCTGTCATTTGAACGGCGATCAAGCCTGAAGCCACAGAGCTCTTCTGCTGTCCTTAGAGGAAGTTTGAGGTGTTTGAGGTGCAATAAACGACACAGCAGCTTTTTGGGATGTTAAAACTCTGCCTCCAGCTGGCGAAATTACAGCCTCGCCTACTGATTTTAATTTAACCATAGGATATCAAGCCCGATCGTCGATTTCAAATGTGTGCTCTAAAATGATATTAATAAATTACTATTATCATTATTATAAGCTAGAAAAGAAATGGCAAATATAGGTAGAAAGCAAACGTATTTGAGATACGTTCATAACAAACGTCATGTGGGAGAAAATAGGTTTCTCGAAGATATGTAGAAAATAAACGTATTTAAGATATGTTCATAACAAACGTAACGTGGAAGGAAATACGTTTCTTGCGAAACGTATTTGAGAATGCAGTTTAGTTTTGTGGGAACGTAATTTCTAGGAGACAGGGTTGAAAGTAGAGACACTACATACTGATATACACCTGAACATCAGCAGGAGAGGACTCTTTAAAGTGGACCTATCATGCTATATTTGAATAATATAGTGTAGGACCATACCTATATAAGGCATATTTATACTTTTTTTTTTTCAAAATACCAAACAGATCATGCATTTTAGCCATGCCTCATTTTGCTCAATTTGACATTTTTTTGCTCTGGATTTGCAAGGGCAGATTCAGTGAGAACAGCACCATCTAGAGGCCTGGCATATGTACTACAGCGTCTCCAGCGCTTTCGAACGGCAATGGCCGTGGCTGTCTCCTCCTGATTGGTGGACTTGGCCCAATAGCCGTAGCGCCACTGTCCTGACGTCAGGAAAGTGTTCAAATCTGGATCAGTTTTTATCAGATCCGTTGCAGCCCCTTTTTTAGAGATTTGGGTATGGAGGAAAATAGAGAGGGTTGTGTTTTCTGACACTTGGTGAGTTCCCTGGAACACCAGGGACACATATTCATGTATAAAAGACGTACAAAAGTGCATTTTGCATGATAGGTCCCCTTTAAGGCGAGACACGGCAGGCAAAAACATCGTTTTTCCTGCACTGGTCAATTTTGAGATTTTGTGCTATTTTGATTCCATAACATGTTTTCTTTCAGGCTTTGGAAGGAAAACGTACAAAATACACATTTAAGTGTTTATTTTACTATAGTTTGTCTATTTGCGTCTGTAGATTTCTCCTAAATTCACCAAAAGTTAGCATTCTAACGTAACATAAAGTACCGCGACCGCTGTTTGCACCATGTCATCAGAGGTATCGTTGGAAAGCTCCGTCTCTCCTGCACAATCTCATCGGATCCAAATATGGTCATTTCCTTTGTATCAGCAACCAATCGTGAAAGTGCAAAGGGGTCTTAAACCAAGAAACGAAATCTCATTGGCTGGTGTCAATTTCTGACAACGTGATTCGTTCAGATGCATCACGTGGTGTGCTAAAGCACTTCCTGGTTAGCTTTCCGCTAGAAATTTAAATCTGAAAATGGCAAAATAACGGCGAAAAAAACGTTCACAGAGAAGACGACAACAATTGTCACTTGCACAAAGCAAGGTTATACAAAAAACAAATGACCCCGAACATGAAATACCTTCACGGAGTGCGTCGATGCGCAGGCTGTCATCCAGAGAACAGGAGGGTTTAGCTATAGCGCCACACATCTTTAAAGGTCGCTTTCTCAAAATGAGTTTTTTCTCCTACTCTGAGTCCGAAATGTCCACTTCAGTAGCAGTTACATACACCAAACCTTCCAGTTATATTCCTATCAATATTATGAAGGCTTTTACAGAAGGGTTTGGTCATATATAATTAATAGCCTGAATTATATAACATTTTATACCTAAAAACATGGTGAAAATTGATATTTTAGGGCTGTTGACAGTATTTTCTGATTTATGGAGTGATACAAAGAGATATCCAAAATCCCTTCTGTAACAGCCTTAGATACTAATATGACTACAAAATGAAACAATAATTTTGATCCTGGCTTTATCCAAAGTTCAGATTTCGGTTCCTGAAATGTGTTAAAATATGTGCATATTTCATGAGATAATGGATCATTTGCATATTTAAACATGCTATTTCAGAAAACTTGTAATACAAAAAACAATTTCCTTATTGTAAGTAATTAACTGGAGAAATATCTAGCTGATATCTTTAAGTTAAAAAAATTACCCTATTCACCTGGGGTGTCTCGCCTTAAAGTAGAGACACTACATACTGATATACACCTGAACATCAGCAGGAGAGGACTCTTTAAAGTAGAGACAATACATACTGATATACACCTGAACATCAGCAGGAGAGGACTCTTTAAAGTAGAGACACTACATACTGATATTCACCTGAACATCAGCAGGAGAGGACTCTTTAAAGTAGAGACACTACATACTGATATACACCTGAACATCAGCAGGAGAGGACTCTTTAAAGTAGAGACACTACATACTGATATACACCTGAACATCAGCAGGAGAGGACTCTTTAAAGTAGAGACACTACATACTGATATACACCTGAACATCAGCAGGAGAGGACTCTTTAAAGTAGAGACACTACATACTGATGTACACCTGAACATTAGTATAATAGGGCCCCTTTAACTTGTAACAGTATTTTTACACCGTAGAAATCCATTCCAGGCTCTCTTGTTATTTGCATGTTTTGTTTTATATCTTAAAGTGGACCTATCATGCTATATTTGAATGATATAGTGTAGGACCATACCTATATAAGGCATATTTATCCTTTTTTTTGTGCAAAATACCGAACAGATCATGCATTTTAGCCATGCCTCATTTTGCTCAATTTGACATTTTTTAGCTCTGTTTTTGCATTTTGCATGATAGGTCCCCTTTAAATTAACTCATTAACTTCCACATTACATCAGATTATAGCGCCCTGTCTTCTCGTACCTTTGTTGTGGACGGCGTTGCGATGGAGATGCCGCTGCCTGACCCCGGCAGCACGGACAACACTTTGTACTGAGAAGAGAAAAAAAACACAAACACAAACATTTAAAAAAAACTAATTTGAAAACAAAACAACAAGAAAAACAAACTCTGATTGACCTTTATATATCAGTATAGAATACTTGATTTTAAAATGTTAGTAAATAGTGAAAAATGTTCATCCCGGTTCCTCAAAGTCCAACATGATTTTCACTTTTTTTTTATATTTAATATTGTTCTAACTTATTTCTTTTTATATTTGTATGCCGAAGGCGAGAGGGGTCTGCCTGCAGGCCTCCACTCTCAGTACAGGAAGTGAACACGTTTTTTTCCCCGTCCCCGAAGGATTCGTCTGATGGAAGTTTTCAAATCACAATGGAGACCCATCACGGAGGTGATGAGTCCGCTCACCATGCACTTTGGGTCGGCCTTGGTCAAGCCCTTTTGACCCCCCTAGCCTGGTTCTCGTAAAAGTTGACTTAGCCATTTTTGGCTATTTCACCCGGTTCCTTCTACCGGGGACACTGCCCGGTCTCGGGTGTCCCCCCACAGCCTGTGTCCAGCCGTTTCCCCCCCCCACTCATCCATATATTAACGGATTTTGACCGTTTTTGTTGCATTTTTCTCCTCTCCTCTCACTGATCGAATGGCAAACGCGACCCACCATCGGATATATATATATAATAAGTGTCAGTGCGATTTTATTTTGTATTAGTGTGCATTTCCTGTTCGGAAAGTGGCGCTGTACTGATGGTGGCAATTTTATTTTGTAATTCTTAGCGTGCACTTCCTGTCCTGAGGGTGGAGGTGTCCTCAGAGTGGAGGTGTCCTGAGACTGGCGCCTGCAGGCAGGCTCCCATGCCGAAGGCAGTGCTGCCCCTGGCCAAATTGTGGCCCTACGCAACATTTTGTCAGAACAAACCTTCTGGATGTCGGTGATGTCGGCCAGTTTGATGACTTTGTTCCTCTTGGAGGATCCGGATCTGGAGCTGGAGCTCTCAAAACACAGATGACTGAAAACACAGAGGAACAAACACGGATCCAGTTTTACACGTTTCACAGTATTTATTCTGCACTTGTGTATTTTAAAATGAAACACAGTAAAGTTTGGAGAAATTTGAAAACATTTTCTGATCTTCTATAAATACTACGGCCTCAGCTTGATCTCAAAACTTTAAGTATTGCAGTCTCCCTCCTCATCTGTGTTCTGTCTGAAAACATTGTGCGGGAACAATAATCAATGTGAACAGGAAGTGAGGGACTTACTTCTCGGTGACATAGAGGTATCCGTTGCGGATGTAGTCAGTGGGCGACTTCCTGTCTCTGTTGATGAGGCAGCAGCGCCAGCCGCTCTCACACACTGACACACAAAGAGTCAAACATCACTACATGCAGGAGGGTCAGGGAGCTTCTTGTGGGAATGAGGGCGTTTCCAGTGCTTTTAGACTCAATGTATTTACTTTTAAGGGTCATACATGTATAAAGACATTTGTATTTTTCATTAGAGGTTCATTGATGTCACTGTGAAGCAGTTAGACCTACCTGTTGAAGATGAAACTAGTAATTGCCGTTAATAACTTTGCAATATATACAACAAATGCAAATAAACGGACGGGACATAAATACCAATAAACAAATGCAAGAAATTCAAATAAACAAAAGCAACAAACACAAACACATATCTTGAGTTCCTGCCCACCTGTCAGGGGGCGCTCGCTCTCCTGCAGGTTGAACACTTCGTGGAAAGCTCCTCTCTTGGTGCTGCTGTATCGCCCTCCGTCTTCATCCCGGCTCGCACCGAGAGGAGCCGCCGGGCCGACGCTGCCCCGCCCGCTGGTTAACGTGACCTGGAGGGGGGGGGGGGGGATACTAGCTTTAAAAATCAGCAGCAAGAGAGGATCTGTGGGAACGTCCTGAACATCACTGTGAAACGAGTCTATTGTTGTTCCAACCAATGGATGCATTATCAGAGCGGCGTGTTAATCACACTAATATGGATTTGACAGCTATGTTCGCTTCACAGAGTATCTTTTCCAGAGTAGATTGATGAAAATAGTGCTTTTTGAACATGAAAGACTATTCCCAGTTATGCAGAGCTTAGTATAATTGTAATCTAACCTTTAACCCGGACAACTCAGGTGTTCACAGCTCTTCACAAGATCCGAACCATAATGATCACCTTCCTTTGTTTCTGTTGTTAAAAATGTGGCTCAAATCTTGACAATGTCCTGAAGACTTAAGGATGTTTAGAGTCTTACAAAAAATGTAACGTTGGTGGTGAAGAGAAGAAGAACCAACTTCAATATTTGTTTACCTGACCCAAAATTGTACCTAAAAACTAAAAAAGATGTTGATACAAACCGTTTAACATTAGTTTGGAAACATGAACATTTGGTAGGATCTAAGAGTGACCTGAGGATGGCGCCAGAGGAAAGGGGACATTAACATATCAAGAAGAACAATTCTGGTGATCATCAATGTGTAGTTCACTAGCAAGAACCACGCCACAACAGTGTGATGTTTGTGCGTTTATTGAAGTAACATGTGAAGGATATGAGGGGGGTGAAGAGGTGATCTGGGAGGACGAGCTATGGTCCGTGCTGTGGGAGACTCAGAGTGGGGGTTCCGTCTCCGGCATGAACTGCGTGGGCTGATTACGGTCCCCCAGACAATACCTGGAGTTTAATGTTAGTATACGCAGTATAGATATGCACCGTTTAGATATAAATGGTGATGGGCAGAGGATGTTTATGGGTAGAAGGGTGAGGGAGGGTGGGTTGAAAGATGAGACAAGCGTTTGCCGGAAGCTTTGCCGGATATAAATAGGGGTGGCTGTGGTTTGAGGCGGAGTTTTAGGCGTGGCCATGCTCCTGAACCTATGTTAACATTTTAACCTCATTTCACTAGCAAGAACCACGCCACAACAGTGTGATGTTTGTGCGTTTATTGAAGTAACATGTGAAGGATATGAGGGGGGTGAAGAGGTGATCTGGGAGGACGAGCTATGGTCCGTGCTGTGGGAGACTCAGAGTGGGGGTTCCGTCTCCGGCATGAACTGCGTGGGCTGATTACGGTCCCCCAAAAGAGTCGGATTAAAAGCAGCTGACTTAAGCGTGTGCATGTCAGACGTCGTTTAGATGTTGCGGATGTAAGCGTGGTACGCTTGGGATGACGAGCGGCCGAGGGCCTAGGCGGTTGGATAAGAGATGCCTGGTCTAGCTGCTGTGGACGCTGCGCCGATGCGGGAGAAATGGCTCTAATTCTGAGAGTGCCCCCCAAAATGTGCAGGATGTTCTGAAAGTGTTTCTGGACCGGAAACATGTGGCTTGAAGATAACGTGTCTGGAACGAGTGACTACATCTTCACTTCTAAATCTGGCTAAACATTGAGAGAGAGAGACCGGAGCGTCTGCTCGTTGCGAGGGTCGGAGAGAGAGAGACCGGAGCGTCTGCTCGCTGCGAGGGTCAGAGGGCTTGCTGTGCCTGTTAACTGTTCTGGACTATGAGGAGATCTCTAGTCATCCTGAGAAGTCTACTGGATTCAGGTCTGTTCTGGACTATGTGGAGATCTCTAGTCATCCTGAGAAGTCTACTGGATTCAGGTCTGTTCTGGACTATGTGGAGATCTCTAGTCTGCTCTGGACTATGTGGAGATCTCTAGTCATCCTGAGAAGTCTACTGGATTCAGGTCTGTTCTGGACTATGTGGAGATCTCTAGTCTGCTCTGGACTATGCGGAGATCTCTAGTCATCCTGAGAAGTCTACTGGATTCAGGTCTGTTCTGGACTATGTGGAGATCTCTAGTCTGCTCTGGACTATGTGGAGATCTCTAGTCATCCTGAGAAGTCTACTGGATTCAGGTCTGTTCTGGACTATGTGGAGATCTCTAGTCTGCTCTGGACTATGTGGAGATCTCTAGTCATCCTGAGAAGTCTACTGGATTCAGGTCTGTTCTGGACTATGTGGAGATCTCTAGTCTGCTCTGGACTATGTGGAGATCTCTAGTCATCCTGAGAAGTCTACTGGATTCAGGTCTGTTCTGGACTATGTGGAGATCTCTAGTCTGTTCTGGACTATGTGGAGATCTCTAGTCATCCTGAGAAGTCTACTGGATTCAGGTCTGCTCTGGACTATGAGGAGATCTCTAGTCATCCTGATAAATCTACTGGATTCAGGTCTGTTCTGGACTATGTGGAGATCTCTAGTCTGCTCTGGACTATGTGGAGATCTCTAGTCATCCTGAGAAGTCTACTGGATTCAGGTCTGTTCTGGACTATGTGGAGATCTCTAGTCTGTTCTGGACTATGTGGAGATCTCTAGTCATCCTGAGAAGTCTACTGGATTCAGGTCTGTTCTGGACTATGTGGAGATCTCTAGTCTGCTCTGGACTATGAGGAGATCTCTAGTCATCCTGATAAATCTACTGGATTCAGGTCTGTTCTGGACTATGTGGAGATCTCTAGTCTGCTCTGGACTATGTGGAGATCTCTAGTCATCCTGAGAAGTCTACTGGATTCAGGTCTGTTCTGGACTATGTGGAGATCTCTAGTCTGCTCTGGACTATGTGGAGATCTCTAGTCATCCTGAGAAGTCTACTGGATTCAGGTCTGTTCTGGACTATGTGGAGATCTCTAGTCTGTTCTGGACTATGTGGAGATCTCTAGTCATCCTGAGAAGTCTACTGTATTCAGGTCTGTTCTGGACTATGTGGAGATCTCTAGTCTGCTCTGGACTATGTGGAGATCTCTAGTCATCCTGAGAAGTCTACTGGATTCAGGTCTGTTCTGGACTATGTGGAGATCTCTAGTCTGTTCTGGACTATGTGGAGATCTCTAGTCATCCTGAGAAGTCTACTGGATTCAGGTCTGTTCTGGACTATGTGGAGATCTCTAGTCTGTTCTGGACTATGTGGAGATCTCTAGTCATCCTGAGAAGTCTACTGGATTCAGGTCTGTTCTGGACTATGTGGAGATCTCTAGTCTGCTCTGGACTATGTGGAGATCTCTAGTCATCCTGAGAAGTCTACTGGATTCAGGTCTGTTCTGGACTATGTGGAGATCTCTAGTCTGCTCTGGACTATGTGGAGATCTCTAGTCATCCTGAGAAGTCTACTGGATTCAGGTCTGTTCTGGACTATGTGGAGATCTCTAGTCTGTTTCTGGACTATGTGGAGATCTCTAGTCATCCTGAGAAGTCTACTGGATTCAGGTCTGTTCTGGACTATGTGGAGATCTCTAGTCTGTTCTGGACTATGTGGAGATCTCTAGTCATCCTGAGAAGTCTACTGGATTCAGGTCTGTTCTGGACTATGTGGAGATCTCTAGTCTGTTCTGGACTATGTGGAGATCTCTAGTCATCCTGAGAAGTCTACTGGATTCAGGTCTGTTCTGGACTATGTGGAGATCTCTAGTCTGTTCTGGGCTATGTGGAGATCTCTAGTCGTCCTGAGAAGTCTCAGTTGAATGTGGTGAAAACATTTGGGTGTTGGGGAAGGGATGGGGTAGGGATGGGGGGAGGGGGAAAAGGTAGAGCAGTTGGAAAGGAAGGTACTAGGTAAGAGTCGGCTGATAGGTTAGCATGTGGCATGGCCCCTGCCCCTTGGTTTACTAGGTGGGACGCTGTTGCTACGGGGTTAGCTGCTAAAGGAGGAAAGTAAGCAGAAGCTGGGTAGCTGTGGACTGCTGAAGGTAGAGAAGAAGAAGGGATGGAGGGATGAAGGGATGTATGTGCAGGGGGATTTTGTGAAGCCTGTGGGCACAGGGATGAAAGAAAGGTTGAAATGAGCTGCGACATGTCAGACACAGAGAGAGCGGGCACAGAGGGCAATACAGCCTGGCCCCCACCAGGGGGTGCTGGTGAGTCGAGCTGTGTCTGTGGTGGAGGAGGACGGAGGCCTGTGACGTCACGACCCGTGGTGCGCGCGCGCGCGGTGGTTGATTCTGGGGCGGGAAGAGCTGTGTGTGTTGTTGTTCTTGCCGTTGTGCTGCAGTAGGCTTGGTAGAGGTTGAACAGTCTAGCCTTGTTGTCGTTTCGGTGAAAGTGGATGCCGTTGTCTTTCAGGAAACGTTGGAGTCGAATGACTGTCCACCTCCGTAGTTCGGGATCTGTTGTGGAGCGTCGAGTGCGTTCGGGCTCTGCTGTGGAGCGTCGAGTGCGTTCGGGCTCTGTTGTGTAGCGTCGAGTGCGTTCGGGCCCCGTTGTGGGGCGTCGAGTGCGTTCGGGCTCTGTTGTGGAGCGTTGAGTGCGTTCGGGCTCTGTTGTGGAGCGTCGAGAGCGCCGCTGCGAGTGGCCGGGAGCTGCGAGTGAGGCAGGCTGCCGGTGGTGGGGAGATTGGAGCTGGCTGTACCTGATGCGGCCCTGGCTGTTTGCCCTCGCTGGCGGAGTAGGCGAAGCCTGGGACCTGTCTGGAGTTGGAGGTATCTCGTTGGGGGAGCTTGAGCGGGAGCGGTAGCGGCTGGTGTGTGGGGCACTGAATGCCGAGCACGCGCGGCTCCGTTCGGATGCTTGGCTTGGCTCCGTCTGCTGACCCGAGGATGGCGGGTAGCCGATGTCGAATAGATCCTCATCTGACTCCGGCGAGTTGATCAGGATTTCGGGATCCATGGTGAGTAGCAATGTTCTTGTGGTAGCGTTTTAGCTTGTATTGAACTGTGACGACGCGCAGCGTGAATCACAGTCTGCCTGTCGATCTTTGAAAGATGAGACAAGCGTTTGCCGGAAGCTTTGCCGGATATAAATAGGGGTGGCTGTGGTTTGAGGCGGAGTTTTAGGCGTGGCCATGCTCCTGAACCTATGTTAACATTTTAACCTCATAAGTTTTACCTTTATTAGGAACCTGAAAGAAATTGAGTAAAAGAGGCAACATTTGACGTATAGGTTTATGATATCTCAAACTAACACCGTCACAAACTCTACCAGCAGCTGACAGGAGGGGCATTAGTGTCACTACTTATCTAACTACAATAAACACTGCTGATCTCGCACGCACGCACGCACGCACGCACGCACGCACGCACGCACGCACGCACGCACACACACACACACACACACACACACACACACACACACACACACACACACACACACACACACACACACACACACACACACACACACACACACACACACACACACACACACACACACACACACACACACACACACCACACACACACACACACACACACACACACACACACACACACACACACACACACACACACACACACACCACACACACACACACACACACACACACACACACACCATGATCCTACCTGTTCAGACTCAGACAGCTGTGAGAGAAGAACAAATGCAAACTGAAAAACCAGGAACACCAGAAACCAGCTGCTGGGACCAGTAAGAACCAACGGAGGATGGAGTACTCCTTTATTTGTCATTTTTTGGATGTATCTGAAGTATTTTGTCTATTTTTTCAGGATATTTTCTACACATTTTCTGGATATTTCAGAGTGTGTACTGACCCTCCTGGTGAGCGTGGAGCCGCCGTGCTCCTTCAGCTGCAGGTCGGTGGGCAGGTGGGTCCAGATGATGAACGGCGTGTCGAAGCGCTGCCTCAGCTTCGGACAGCTCTTGAAGAGGAAGTCGATGACGAAGAACTTTATACCTGCGTACACACCTGGGCAGAGAGAGACAAGTCAGAGATACTGAATCTCTAATTCAATCTGTTGTTCAACTTAATACAATGCACAGAAATGTATTAAATGCACGATTACTCAAATAATAATCACAATCACAGTTTATGCTTCCTACCAAAAACATCATCAACTGCGATATCGACATTTAAACACTGATCAGATCGGCTGCTTATCAAATGAGGTGCTTCCTAAACTAATAACCAGCCACCAGGGGGCGCTTGGAATAAGGAAACTTTGCAGCAGAGAGAAGAAGAGTAAGATACAAAAGTGTAGGAGGGCAAAACTAAAATGCGCTGAATTCAGGTGAAGAAAAACGTCATGTTAAATCCTATATAGATCCAAATATGCGTTATTTAGCAGGAATTCAGCAGTTATTAAATGCTAAATGCAACGTTCTTCTTACTTAATACTGTTGTACTTTTAGTGAGTAAACTTTAATATGCAGGACTTGTAACAGAGTATTTATACAATATGGTATTAGTACTTTCACTTAAGTAAACCATTTTAGTACTACTTAAGTACATGTATAAGTATGTAATAGTGTGTGTGTGTGTGTGTGTGTGTGTGTGTGTGTGTGTGTGTGTGTGTGTGTGTGTGTGTGTGTGTGTGTGTGTGTGTGTGTGTGTGTGTGTGTGTTGTACCTATGAAGAATCCCAGCAGTTTGAATGGCAGCAGGCAGGAGGAGATGAAGGCCAGCCACAGACCAACGTACAGCTTCTGAGTCAACTCAGGCTGAACCCAAATGAACAAACTACACACACACACACACACACACACACACACACACACACACACACACACACACACACACACACACACACACACACACACACACACACACACACCACACACACACACACACACACACACACACAGTATTACATTTCTGTCCACGGACCATCATTCCTCTCTGAGGTGGAGCAAAGTGTGTGACTCACTTCTTGATTTTCTCCAGCCTGTTCGCCATCCTGCCAAACAGGTTCTGTGGCACAAAAGGAAAATAATTTAATAATAAGAAGAAGAAGTTTATTTAGTATAGCACCTTTCACAGCAATACAATTCACAAAGTGCTTCACAATAAAGAACACAAATTTAAAACTAAGACCACAGAAACATGAATACAATAACAACATGAGGCAGAAATGTAAGGTCAACATAAAAACAAAACACAGACCACGTAGAGTCCCGAAAGAAACAAACATAAGAACAGAACACATCACATCTCAAGTAGAAAAAAAGCCAATGTAAAAAGATTGGTCTTCAGTTGTTTGTTTGCAGTGAATCTGTCTGAGCTGTCACACGCTGACGTAGCTCCGCTGAATTCTCCGTCACGTCTCACCTGAGCTTTCTGAGCGACGTCCAGAACCAGCGTGAACTTCTCCGACACCGTCAGGTCTTCTTTGGGAGGCTCCTGGAAAACAGAGGAGACAATAAGGAGATACAAACTGACACATGTCAATCATCTACACAACTAGTGACCATTACAACTTCCCCAGTTAATTACTCACATTAAGAAATATACTGTATGTTTGTATGAGAACTTCCACAACTAACATGTTTTTGTATTGAAACCAGGCATAACCTTATCATATATTTGTTATTATGCATACCTTTCAAGAACAGAAATCTAAAAAAGTCAGGTCTAAGAAATACAATGTAGAAAAACTTAGGTAGAGTACATGAAAGTTCCTTAAAATTGAGTAAATGTACTTAATAACAATGCAAGTTACATTAAAATGTTATGTTTTTGAATGCAAATCTGGTATTATTTTGATAAATATGAGTTCATTTGTATACTTTTCAAGAACAGAAATCTGAAAAATAAGTAACACAGGTAATTTGAATTTCAAGGACATACAGAAATGTATGTAAAATACCCTAAACTACCTCAAAATTGGAATAGGTTATATGGAATTGTTGATATTAAAAAGGCACAACCGTTTTTAATACCAAATTTCAATACAAATGAATTATTCGTCAATTAAAAACCTACGTTTCATGACCATTAAAAGTCATTCCACTATTTGACATGACATAACATTAAATGACGTCCCACAGCCACCAGGTGGAGCTGTTAGTCTGTCAGACTAACTTCCTGTTCACCTGTCCAGGTAGCCTGTCAGGACACTTTCAGATTGGTTATGGATATTTCTTTTCATGTTGAAGATAAATCACAGAGAGATTTCTCACCACGGGCTCAGAGACTTCAGGTACGATGCTCCACTGGATCCTCCAGCCTCTGAGAGCAGTGCATCATGGGAACACACAGGTAGATATGAGATCATTTCACACTGTCTAAATATATCTGTGTGTCAAAGATTTTGAATTCAAGCTGCTCAGAATCATTGGTTCATTTTTAAAACACGGTGAGGCTTCGAGTGGATGAAAAGTTACCTATCTGTCAAGAATGGAATAAAAAAACATCTATTAAAACATTTTAATTAGTGACGTTTCCTCTACCTGACTGAAGTACTTTACTCCATTTTACACTCTTAAACACATAGTTAACCCCTTTCTATTTCCCATTGAGTAGTTTTAAAGAACATACGAGTCATAAAGTTACGTATACCGGGGTCTAAGTACCCTAAACGAGCCAGAATCAACAGCTCATTAATGGAGCGTCTGAGAAATAGCTGTAACTAACAATTATATTATTCAATTGATTGTTATCATAAATCCCAGATAACAGCCAATATCCTACCAGTTCCTCACAGGTGATGTGTTCAAATGTCCTGTTTTTAAGTACAAATTCCAAAGATATTCAGTTTATTATGATATAAAACATAAGAACAGTGAATCTCTATATTTTGGAAAGCTGAAAACAGCATTTTCTGCTATTTCTGCATGAAAAATAACATTTACGGTAAATACTTTTTCAAAATAGTTGCACAACAATCAATAATCAAAGCCCACCCCGACCTATTGTTCATGATTCACCTGCACCTTACTTCATGAAGATTAAAAGCCCTATACAAGAAGATGCATGTCAACCTGGTTAACAGTCTCTGATTGGGGCCGTGTGATTGGCTGTAGGAGAGAGAGGGGGCGGGGCTTGCACTGACCTGGCGATGAGATAATTTAAAGAGAGGCGGACGATGGCGAGGAACAGGAACATCGGGACGGCCCAGCCGTGCCACGCTGCATACATGTAGACCTGCAGAACACACACACACACACACACACACACACACACACACACACACACACACACACACCACACACACACACACACACACACACACACACACACACACACACACACACACACACACACACACACACACACACACACACACACACACACACACACACACACACACACACACACACACACACACACACACACACACACACACACACACACACACACACACACTTTGACTGTCAATGATCACGGATAGGGATGCTTATCCCTGTGAACACACAACATGTCTGTTTGTCTGCTGTAGTCCATAGCTCCAATTGGCACAAGTCTTTGCTTCACTAGAGACATGAAGCTACGAGTATCCAACAAAGCAGTGACCTGCTGGCCATTAACAGTGACAGCTTTATGACGTTGAACACGTTCTTCTTGATCCCCAATGGGCCCCAACTCTGCCCGGGGTGCATAGCAAGCTCCTGTGACCTTAGCTTTGCGTAGGGAACACACAGAAGCTATGTGGCCTGGCTGCTGGCAGTAATAGCAAATTAAATCCTTACCAGCTCCTTGTTGGTTTGGGGCAGTGCTAGGATATCCTGAGAACTCTGGTCGATTATCTCTCTTTGCAGGCCTGGGCTGGTGTGCTGGTTGGTGTGTAAAAGTGGTTGAGCGTGCAGGTGGTCCTCCTCTGCGGGCGTTGATGTACTGGAGCGCCAGCTTGGCAGCCGCAAGACCCTCTGTAGGCTCATCCTCTTTCACCCAGGTCCTCACCTCCGGGTGGGAGTATCCGAAGCATCTGCTCCAAGATGATGGCCTGGTGGAAAGATTCAACCAGACACTGAAGAAGATGCTACAGAAGTTTGTTGATGACAATGGTAAGGACTGGGACCGTTGCCTACCGAGAGGTTCCCCAGGCTTCAACTGGATTCTCTCCATTCGAGCTGCTATATGGATGGGAGGTTCAGGGCCCATTGGATCTACTCCGAAAAGGCTGGGAGGCTCCTACGACCACTCCAAGTGATAGAGGAGTGGTGCAGTTTGTGCTGGAGATGAGGGATTGGTTAGCAGGATACCAGGAGGAGGCTGAAGTCAACCTGCGTTCGAACCAGAAAAGCCAGAAGACCTGGTATGACCAGCAAGCTCGGCATCGTGAGCTCCAGCCTGGCCTGACAGTCCTTTTGCTGCTGCCCTCATCCAACAGCAAGCTTTTGACGAAGTGGCAAGGGCCATATGTCATCACACGGAAGATGGGTCCAGTCACCTATGAGACCAATCACCCAGAGAAGAAAAAAACCAAACAGACCTACCACGTGAACTTGCTGAAAGAGTGGAAGGAACGTTCTGTCCAGGCCCGAAAAGGCATTGCTGGTGAAGGAGGTGAACTTGGATGAGGAGGAGGAGGTTGAGAATGAGTTGCCTCCCTCAGCTCCTCTGAATCTCTGGCGGAGACTTGAGGTCTGCTCACGACCTCCACGTTGCTCTCTGTGTCGGAGGTGTTGGGAGAATCGGCCAGATCCAGGAACTCGTCCCGTCTCTGGCCCCGGAAACGGATCCTTTCCAGATGTTTCCGCATGGTGGGCGCCGTTTAGCCGGTCGTTCTCTACCTGAACATGACTGCCGGCAGTGCTGCAGAGACTGAAGGAGGACAGGAACGGGGGGTTACGTATTGTAACCCTAGTTATATAAACACAGGCGGAGCCCTCTACTGGACTCTATGGGTACTACTCTCTATCATGCTGTGCGTGCTTTCACCTACTGAATTTACGTAAACGTAGCCGGCCAATCGGGGCGAGCCTACCTGAATGCGCGCGCAGGCCCACAGTATATAAGGCGGCTACAGCCGCCGCCCCACTATCCTATACACTCTTCAGTGAGCGGACTAGGAAAGACAGGGCCTCCAGGTAGAGGGCTCCGCCTGTGTTTATATAACTAGGGTTACAATACGTAACCCCCCGTTATATCTCACACAGGCTCCGCCCTCTACTGGACTCTATGGGTACAGTGGGCGGAGCCCCGATGTATAAACGCCCTGTCGTCCAACAACATCGACCCACCACACCGTCCCTCACCGGCTTTTGGCTAACATCCACTGCATCCCCACTTCCTCCCATCCGGTTGTAACCGTGGAGAAGTCGGGGCCGCAACTTGGATAAGGCACACTCACACACGCTTACCTCGTGTAGAGTGTGCATGGAAAAAACTGTGCGGAGACTCCGTCTGGAGCCTACCGCGCACCATGTTCCCCAGGTCCCTCAGGAGCACGGGAAAACATAAGTGCACCACATCCCCCACACTCACACACGCTCTGTGTAGAGTGGGCATGGACAATAGTGAGGAAGGCTCTCCCCGCCTGCCCATAGGCAGGCGGGGAGAGTCCTCCAGCCCTGTATGGGGCTGATTGCACACCATGTCTCCCGAGTCCCTCAGGAGCATGGGAAAAACACAAGTGCTTTATGTCCAGGGGGGGGGGTCAGATACCTGCTGACCCACAGCCACCCCCCTCTCACCAGTCATGCGTTGCCTCGGCAAGCACCGACGACGAGAAGGAGCCAGACATGTCCAGGAGATAACATTTTATGAAGGGGCCTGGCGTAGACCAAGACGCCGCCGTGCATATATCTTCTACACTCACACCGCTGAATAAGGCTGTTGACACAGCCACAGCCCGTGTAGAATGTGCACAGACCCCAGTGGGGAGGGCTCTCCCCGCCCGTCCATAGGCATGTATAATGCACCTGCATAGCCATCCTGTTAGGCGCTTCTTTGAGAGGGCTTTTCCAGCCACACCATCCCCAAAGCACACAAACAGTTGTTCAGTGCGCCTAATGGGAGCCGTGTGCTCTACATAGCATGCTAGCGCGCGCACTGGGCAGAGGAGGTGCAATTTAGCCTCCCTGGCCCCAATATGGGGTGGAAGATTAAAGCCACCTAACTGAATAGCCCTTGATCTGAATGAACTTCTGATACTCTTAGGAGTAAAGGAGGGGGTTCGGCCTGAGTGTCGCCCCGCTACGGTCACCCCGGATCAAAAGACAACTTGGGTGTACCGACAGAGCGGTCAGCTCGGACACTCTTTTAGCCGAAGTCAAGGCAAGTAGCAATGCTGTCTTCCATGACAGTGCTTTCAGGGAGGAGAGCTCCAGAGGCTCAAATGGTTCTGTGACCAGAGCCTCGAGCACCAACGGCAGGTCCCACTGCGGGGCGGAGGCGTGCACTACTGGGCGCTGCCTCCCGCGGGAGCTGTTCCCGCCTCACCCTCTCCAGGAGGGGGGGGATAAGGTGCAGCGGTGGAAAGACGTAAAGCAGCTTTCTTGGCCATGGCTCGTGTGCAAATGTGTCGACCCCCAAGGGCGGGTTGTCCCACCGAGCCAGGGAGAACCACAGGGCACAGTGGCTGTTGCGCCGATTGGCGAACAGATCCACCTCTGCTCTACCGAACTGAGTCCAGACCTGCTTCACCACCTCCGGGTGAAGCCTCCACTCGTCTGGCAGGGGTCCGCCTCTTGACATGAGGTCGGCCCCCCTGTTCTCCCGTCCCGGGATGTGCAGGGCCCTTAGAGACAACACAATCTGTGAAACCCACAGCCACAGGTTCTCTGCTGCGGTCAACCAGGCTATTGAGCGGACTCCGCCCTGCCTGTTGATGTACGCCACTGTGGTGCGGTTGTCGCTCCTTACTAGCACATGTTTGCCCTGTATTAAGGGTTTGCTGTTCTGTAGGACCAACATCACTGTGATATAGGAGGTTACCTGCCCCAGTGGAGCTCCCCTCCGCAGATTCTCTGGGGACCCCCAGAATCGGAGGTTGCTCTCTACTGAGGGGGGGGATGGCCACCAGACGTCGTTTGTGTCTTAAGATCTAAACGAAGGCCGGTAAACCACATCTGCATGCGACGTGCATGCAGCAGTCCGAGTGGCACTACGGAGTGAGCAGCCGTCATGAGACCCAAAGTCTGCATGATGATCAAAGCTGTCACCGTCGCCCCCTGACGCAGCCTGCAGACTGCCCGCAGCAGGGATGCCTGTCTGCTTTCTGTCAGGGTGACACGTAGTCTGCCTGCATCGAGCATCACCCGCAGATATTCTACCTGTTGGTGAGGTATGGGGGAGCTCTTCTTCCAATTGACCGCAACTTCTTTTTCAACCCAACTTGGTTAGGTGTAGGATCAATTGGGCTGTGTGCAGTATTGCCCATTCCCTGGACCTGGCCATAACTATGAGGTCGTCCCTCATGCCATGGTCCCGTAGCGGTTGCAGCGTCGTGGCTGAACGTGCGTGGGGATAGGGAGTAGCCAAACGCAAATACTTTCTGTGCTCTTGGAGCAATTTCGCCATGAAAGTAAGCGTTCTTCAGGTCGATGGTTGTGAACCAATCGCCTGGCTGCACCAGTCTCAGTAACTGTTTCATAGTTAACATATGGAACTTCTTGCATGCAATGTGCTGGTTCAGGCATTGAAGATCCAGAATGGGCCTGAATTCTCCTGTCTTCTTGGGAACCAGGAAGTACAGGGAATAATGCCCCTTCTCTCTGACTTGAGAGTGCACATGCTGAGAGGAAACCTCCTCCTGGGATGACAGATGTGCCTCTCTCCTGCCTCTGAACGGAGGAGGGATGCTGCAAAACTGGAGTGAATAACCCAGTCTCAGTGTCCTGTCCATGCGCTCTGTTAATACACCACTGATTTTCCATTCCCCATAACATTGTGTTAGGGGATGTGCAATCAGCTGCGGAGCCGCAGCTATGAAGCTGTGGTACTCTCTGGTGGCCCACTCCTCCGTCAAACCCTCCATAAAAGGAAGTTTGACCCATGGGGGGCTGACACAGAAAGGGCCGTTTTTCTATAATGTAGTTTCCACTCAGAGAAAAAAACGGCCGATTTTTAACTGAGGTCCCTGAACGCACCACGGCATGCTCCCGTGAGAATGCGCGCTCCACCATAATGCTGTTTTCTCTTAGAGAGAAATAAGCATTAATCGGAGCTTCTTCTGTCCATGAACGCACCGCGGCCCGCTCTCGGGGGGGGGGGCGCGCGTCTTCATAATGCCGTCTCTTGAAACGGACATTATGGGGAAATGTGGAAAATGTGGAATGTGGAGAGAGATGACTCTTACTCTGGGATAAATGCAATCGTTTTTACTGAATGCATTTTACACACACACATCACTCTAGAACTAGAGTTACACTACGTAACCCACTGTTCTTCTGCGGAGGCCCCTGACCGCACCACGGCCACTCTCACGGGGGGGGGGCCGCGCATCGTCATAATGCCGTCTCCTTGAAACGGACATTATGGGGAAATGTGGAATGTGGAGAGAGATGACTCTTACTCTGGGATAAATGCAATAGTTTTTACTGAATGCATTTTACACACACATATCACTCTAGAACTAGAGTTACACTACGTAACGCACTGTTCTTTTGCGGGGGTCCCTGAACGCACCGCGGCCACTCTCACGGGGGCCGCGCCTCATAATGGGTGTCCAATTAACATCGTATGAAAACGGCCTTGCCGATCTCAACGAGACATTATTGGAAAAAATGTGGAATTGTGGAGAGATATGACTCTTACTCTGGGATAAATGCAATCGTTTTTACTAAATGCATTTTTCACACACACATCACTCTCGAACTAGGGTTACTATATACGTAACCCACCGTTCTTGAAACAGGGCCTCTTTTCGACTTTGGAGCCACATCAAAGAAGCTGTAGTATTCTCTGGTGGCCTACTCCGCTGCCAAACCTTCCATAAAAGGGAGTTCTGGCATGGGGGCTGACACAGAAAAAGGGCCGATTTTCTACCGAGGTTCTTGAACGCTGTCAAATGACATCTCTTTGAAACGGACATTTATGGTGAAAAGTGGAAATGTGGAGAGAGATGACTCTTACTCTGGGATAAATGCAATCGTTTTCACTGAATGCATTTCTCCACTCTCTTGAACCCGCACAGTGCTTTGACAGCACTACGGTTTATTCCACTCACGTGCACACGCCCACCTGCTGGCTCCTATACTGGAGTTTACAGAGGGGGCGGGGAGTGTGGGACAGTGTTCTTTCCTCTGGGCCACGTGACCAAGGAGATCGATCCAAAGAGCCCTTCCGTAAACACGGGGGCTCCCAGGAGATCAACACGGTCCTTTTTGAAAAGTGCCATGCGGCGTGATCCCTCACCGGGATTATACCACACGGCAGACAACGGCGGCGGCCACGATCAAGCTACAAATAATCGCTCTGATCTGGCGAGGTGGGGGCATCTCCAGCAATGAGCGAGATGCCCAACACACCCGTGTTTATCTGCAGTCGCGCTGCCCGCTGGGAGCAGCTGCGCTCCGCCGCCATGGTCATCACCTAGGGCGGTGGACCTCCATGGACCGAACCCGGAAGTGCCCGACAACGGCAAACGGAGCCATCCGCCCCGCTGGAATGGCGAACGTGAATGGCACCGCCTCGGCCATATCCTGGTCCCCCAAACACTCTAACAGAGGTGGTGGAGATCAGTGTTAATTTCGTCAACGAAAACTATGACGAAAAATGTTCGTCAACGACCTTTTTTACATGACTAAGACGAGACGATGACGAGCTAAAAATAGATTCTTGATAACGAAAATTTGACGAAATGTATATTTAGTTTTCGTTGACGAGACGAGACGGGACTAAGGTGTTAATGGTGGACTATCGGACATTCAAAATGCAGGGTATTTCCCCCCAAGTGTCCGTCTTGTCTGTCAAAATGCATCTTACATTTCTAACTTGCAATATCATTATTTCCGCTCTCTTCACTCCAGAAGAGCGATCTCCCTCTCTCTCTGTGTGCGGGGGCGGGGCCTAACAGACACGCTGCAGCGGCACACAGAGATCTGCCGGGGACGGAGCGTTCAGAGAGTATAGAGACACTCTACAAGACTCGATGTGGACAAAGCTCGTTTGCCATGTTTTCGCGTTAGCGCGTTGACACGAGTAGAGTAGTCTGTCCAAACAGCCGGCCAAAAGGCGTCATATTCAGTCGGAGAAATGCACAATTTTCGACTTCCTTAACTCGTAGCTCTGTTGCCCCAATTACGAGTAACGTTATCACATCAGGTGTGCAGAGGTGGGAGAAGTACTCAGATCTTGTAGCTAAGTAAAAAAATACCATAGTGTAGGAAGAGTTCCTCAAGTCAAAGTATGATCATCAAAATATATTTAAAGTAGCAACAGTAAAAGTAGTCATTGTGCAGATTGGTCCATTTCAGAATAATATATATGATATGTTTTATAATGATTGATCATTAAAGTGTTCTCAAAGCTAGTAAAGGTGCAGCTAGTTTGAAGGACTTTGTATACTGCAGGGTAGCTTGTGAATTTACTAAAGTCTGAGTTAACACTTGATTATATTTCACATCATTCATCCACATCTGTAAAGTAACTAAAGGTATTAAATACATGTAGTGGAGTAGAAGTACACAGTAGCAAAACATTTAAATACTCCAGTAAAGTACAAGTACCTCAACATTTTACTCAAGTACAGTACAATATTTTAACATAATTATATATATATTTCATTTATTTCACATTTAAATAAAGCAATTAATTCGGTTAACAATTTGTTAGTTTTTCCTTTAAAAAATAACAAAAAGTAAATACAAGAATACCGTTAAAGTACCGGATCGATAAGCAGTATTGATAAGACTAGTAGTACCGTAGAAAACCTTAACGATACCCATCCCTAGATATTACACAAGTAAAGTGTTAAGAGAGTGAAATGTTGCTTTACGAATTTCAACACTTGATGCTGTCACCTTGATTACAATGTCAGAAACCTGTATTTGCCTAACTGAATTGGTTTAAAGAGAAAACATTTTGACTAAAAGTTGACTAAAATGTATTTTTTCATCGACTAAAAGTAGACTAAAACGTTTTGAGTTTTCGTCGACTAAAACTAGACTAAAACGTTTTGAGTTTTCGTCGACTAAAACTAGACTAAAACTATGAAGGATAGAAATGACTAAAATGTGACTAAAACTAATAACCATTTTCGTCTAAAGACTAAGACTAAGACTAAATCAAAAACAGCTGCCAAAATTAACACTGGTGGAGATCGGTGCCCGCGATCAAACCAAGGCAGGTGGGGCATGGCCGAGATTCCAGTAATGGTGAGTCCATTTTTCGTTTCTTCTAATCTTCTAATCTTCGTACGTTTAACTCTTCGGTTGTCAGCTCGTCTGAAGAGAAAAAGGATAGTGGGGCGGCGGCTGTAGCCGCCTTATATACTGTGGGCCTGCGCGCGCATTCAGATAGGCTCGTCCCGATTGGCCGGCTACGTTTACGTAAATTCAGTAGGTGAAAGCACGCACAGCATGATAGAGAGTAGTACCCATAGAGTCCAGTAGAGGGCGGAGCCTGTGTGAGATATAACACATCATTATTATTGTTATTATTATTATATTAAAGTTCCTAGGATACATTTTGATATATTGCAACATAAATATACATTTGATTTAACTACATATCAAAGAATACAACTGAACAGAATCAACATCAGTTCATCTGACACACTTTAAGCTGTAGTTAGTTTACATACTAATCCAAAACCCCCAAAACTAGAGGTGAATAAAAATGAATCTGGTTGTAATATAAACTAAAGACTGACCTGAATGTGAGTCAACAATCACGTGACCCATTTTCAAACAGTCTGTTCAGGGAGGAGGAAGTGTTTCACCAGCTGCTCTTAAACAAGGACCATAACACAGCGTTGTGAAATATAGCTATAAATCTCCAGATGTGTAAAGAGATGTCCTTTATGTATTGAGAACATATTCCTACTTATGCTCAATACACTATTTGAAAAGCCTCTTGGATCAGCTGTAAAATGCATCATCACAAAGTTAAATAACAAGCCTCAACAGTTCTTCCTCCACTCCCTCTTGGCAAACTGCCACTGAGGTGGGACCACACTGTAAGAGAAGAGTTTCCCTTTCCCGGAAATGAAAGCTGAAGTTTGTCTGAGCGACAGCAGAGCAGCAGCCGAGACAAGTCTCTGTTTCTCTGAAGAAACACTCAACTGAATCCAGCAGCTTTTTCTCAACAACACAGCAGTACTCTGCAAACACTGGTGAGTACACTACAGACACATCACGTACTAAATATGTAGTCAAAGTTGGATTAAAATCAGAATCTGACTGTATCCATCTTACCATATAAAGAATATTATATTATATGAATGTGTCAGTTAAGATAAAAACCTCAACATTTACATTAGCAACAGCCAACAATATAACTACAATGTATACTCTGGTTAAGTTAGGTTAGAGAACATACAGTCAAAGCTAGCATTAGCTTGTACTTATTTTCATATTTCCTGTATTTGAAAACATTTTTATAATTGACTCTATTAAACAAAGTATAATCTAAATATTAGATTTGTTCTGGACTCTCCAAAGCAAGGGATCTGGTGTTATGTTACAAGTTTATCTCATAAAAAGGCATGACAATTACATATTTCATCTCATATAATTTGTACACACTGTGGTAAGTAGCATTGAGCTTTGAACCTGTTTCTGTAGTAACTGCTGTCTGCCTTTTGAAGCTGATAAAGTTTACTGTTTTTTTAACAACTAGTATTAACTTCAGTGATGCTCAGCAGGAGGTTTCACTCCTCTGTTCAACAACGGTAAAATCCCCCAACAGTATTAGAGCTTACACATTGTGTTTCTTAGAGTTTAAACCGAATGCTGCTATGATTTTCCAGATTTCATTTGAACTTGAATTTTAATTCTTACAGACAAAAAACCTAAATGTTTTTGGTTGTCATTGGTCTATGTATGTCATTTCTAACATAAAACGTTGGGGTAGTTTACATTTTCGGGTTCATAGTGGGACTCTATGAACTGGCAAATAGAGAATAATAATTACAGTTGTGTTTTTTTCAAACTTTTGTCCCCAGAGAGACATGTCTGCTGCCAGCTCTCTACTGACGGAGGATCAGTTTCTGTGCTCCATCTGTCTGGATGTGTTCACTGATCCAGTCACCATACCATGTGGACACAACTTCTGTAAAGCCTGCATCTCTGAACACTGGGATAGAAATGTCCCGAGTCAGTGTCCCAACTGTAAAAAGGTTTTCAACATAAAGCCTGAGCTGCAAGTCAACACTTTCATCTCTGAGATGGCTGCTCAGTTCAGACAGTCAGCTCAACAGAAAGCCAGCAGCAGCAGCTCAGAGCAACAAGTGGTCAAACCAGGAGAAGTTCCCTGTGACGCCTGCACTGGAACCAGACTGAAGGCCCTGAAGTCCTGCCTGGTGTGTCTGGCCTCCTACTGTGAGACTCACCTGGAGCCTCATCTGAAAAATGCAGGCTTCAAAAGACATCAGCTGATCGACCCTGAGGAGAACCTGGAAAGCAGGATGTGTGTGAAGCACTTTAAACTGCTGGAGCTGTTCTGTAAGACCGACCAGGTGTGTGTCTGCATGCTCTGCACTGTTTTAGACCACAAGACACATGATGTTATTCCTCTGAAAGAAGGATATGAAGGAAAGAAGGCTGAGCTGGGGAAGACAGAGGCTGAAATTCAGCAGATGATCCAGAAGAGACGACTGAAGATTCAGGAGATGAATCGCTCAGTGGAGCTCAGTAAGGAAGGAGCAGACAGAGAGATAGCAGATGGTGTTCAGGTCTTCACCGCTCTGAAGGAGTCTGTTGAGAGAAGCCAGGCCGAGCTCATCGACACGATCAAAGAGAAGCAGAGAGAGACAGAGGAACAGGCTGAAGGCTTCATCAAAGAGCTGGAACAGGAAATCTCTGAGCTGAAGAAGAGAAGCTCTGAGGTGGAGCAGCTGTCACGCTCTGAAGACCAGCTCCACCTCCTCCAAAGCTTCACGTCCCTGAACGCTGCTCCACCCACCAAGAACTGGACAGAAGTCAGGGTCCGTCCACCTTCATATGAGGGGACTGTGAGGAGAGCTGTGACTCAGCTGGAGGAGACGCTCAGTAAACAGATGAAGAAGCTGCTCGAGCTGAAGAGGGTCCAGCAGTATGAGGTGGAGGTGACTCTTGATCCTGATACAGCACAACCCAGACTCATCCTGTCTGATGATGGAAAACAAGTTAAACTTGGTGATGTGATGAAGAATCTCACAGACAATCCAGAGAGATTTGATTCTTGCCCTTGTGTTTTAGCAAAGCAGAGTTTCTCTTCAGGAAGATTCTATTACGAGGTTCAGGTTAAAGGAAAGACTGAGTGGGATTTAGGAGTGGCCAGAGAGTCGATCAACAGGAAGGGAATCATCTCACTGACTCCTCAGGATGGTTACTGGATGATAGCGTTGAGGAATGAAAATGAGTACATAGCTGGTGCTAGTCCTCCAGTCCGTCTCTCTCTGAAGTCTCAGCCTGAGAAGGTGGGGGTGTTTGTGGATTATGAGGAGGGTCTGGTCTCCTTTTATGATGTTGATGCTGCAGCTCTGATCTACTCCTTCACTGGCTGCTGCTTCAAAGAGAAACTCTACCCATACTTTAGTCCCTGTAACAACGATGGTGGTAAAAACTCTGCCCCTCTGATCATCTCTCCTGTCAATCACACTGAGTAGAACAACCATTTGATTTTCTAAAGAAAGATTCACTCTCACTAAATTATGTACTTTGTACACATTGTACATTTTTCAGAATCTGATCACTTATGGTTCACCTCGATGAGACGCATAAAAACATCTAAAATACTGATGAGTATGTTCTAATGTACTCTAGTTTATTCTACGGATTGCACTCCCTGCCGTCATGACTTGAAGTGATCAGAAAACTATTTACTCAGAAATAAACTTGTGCCCCTTCTTTATATGTCAGGGGGACAAGAAAAGTATGTATTGTCTCAGAATTGTGTGTTCAAAAAGTGTTTCATACTTGCACACATTACTAGTGGAAGTAATGCACTCCTTTTTCATCAGTAAAATACTGTATATATATATTTTTTTTAAATAATTTTAAAAGGAAAACATTATGGGTATGTCTGGTGTGTTTTAAAGGGGACGTTCAGAATTCATTATTGAATTATAGTATATTGGTACAAAATGTATTGACAGTTACTTGGAAAATCAACAATACCTGATCATTAAACATTAGGCTGCAGTGGTTTCACAAACCAGGGGAATGTAAATGTTACATCTCAGCTGTCTGTTGTGTTATGTTAATTGTATTTCGTCCACCTCTCTGCACACTGCTTGACAGGGCTACTTGTGGCCCCACGCAAAGTTATATGATGAGGCCCTCTGTGTCGCGAGCGTCGTCGTCGACGGGGGGCGGGGGTGCTAGTGGAGCCTCGCAGCGGCAAAACTGTTGCACGCTTACACTGTAGGTGCGCCGCATTTGCGCTTCAGATGAGGCTCCCTCCGCAAAATGTAGCACCCTCCGCAAATTGAAGCACCCTCCGCAAGCTGAGGCCCCCTCCGCGAGGTGAGGCCCCACGCAGTCTGCGTGATCGGCCTGTAGGGGAAGGGCGGCCCTGCTGCTTGTATAGTCTGAACAAAACCTCAATGGATTAAAAAGAAGGAACAAAGAATGTTATTTTTTGTGTTTTTTTTTAAATGTACTTACTGAAGTACAGTTTTCACTAGTTCTCAATTTAGGGAAAGTATCTTAAAAAAATGTACTTGACTATTTCCATTTGTATATTATACATAACTACATTTGTAGTTAGATTTGGTTCTTCTGAAGCTTTATAAACTATTTAAAACCCTCTTGGATCAGCTGATCATAGATATTAAGATTGCTGTATATGTTTGTTAGAAATAAGGCCATCAACTGGTTAGCTTAGCTTAGCATAAAGACTGGAAACAGGGGAAGAAAAAGCCAGCCTGTCCAAAGGTAACAAAATCCACCTATCAGCAGCTCTGAATCCAGTTTGTTTAATCCATACCAAATCAGAGGAGTAAAAACATCAATAAGACATTTAACAGGGGATTATGGGTCGGGCTATTCTTGGCTGGGACCAAAACAAGTTGCCAAATTGTTTACGTTTCAGTTTTCGTACAGAGATATATTAAGTACACTTAAATGTGTATTTTGTCACTCACTATTTCCCCCCTTTTCCTAGTATATATGCTAAACTAAGCTAATCTTAGTGTCTGATGGCTGCAGCCTGTGTCAGTGAGAGCGGTCTGACTGGTTGGACTGCTTCTAATGATTATGATCTCATTCTTCACCTTGAACACACTCCAGCACTGCCTGTACAGGTGAGACTAACTGACTGCAAACGTCCCGTCTGACTGGGAGATCAATAAAGGTTTTTTTAAATATCAAAATTGCATGAAATATGCTTGTAAAGTCTATTTTATTAATGCCCTGTTTATAAGATGGAGCTTATCATTTGAAATGTCATTATTTTTAAAGAGGTGGATGGTGAATAATATTACAATTAAAAATGTTTCACTCACATCATGACTTTGTTTTTTATTACAGTACACGTTTTCTGAAATGTTATCTTTAAATATACTAACGCATACAGAAACATCATAGAAATGTGTACACTGGTTAAAACCAGGATCACATTCTTGTTTTATTGTCGACTTATTAGAGTCAAAGGTTTTTACAGAGGGGAGTTTTGATATGGGTTTGTACCACGACATAAATCCAGAAAAACTGTCAGCAGCCTTTAAGAAAAATCTATTCTCCAGATGTTTTTTAGGGAAACAGATGTTATAATTTGTATATATATATATAATATCTGCATGTATATTTTCTATTTCGACATGTATATTTTATATTTTATATTTTATTTTATTTTCTTTCTATTCTTGTATATTTTGTAGTTTTGTTTTATTGTAAAATGCCTTTTATGCTGCTGTAACAAAAACAATTTCCCAATTTGGGATCAATAAAGTACGATCTATCTATCTATCTATCTAATCCTTAACGCAATCATCAATAATCAGTCTATAAATCTGGCTATTGATGATATATGAACAAACCACTCAGAGTACAGATGGGAGTGAAACTCATTTTGATAACATTTAAAAAAAAGGCCTTTTATTGTGAATTTACATTTTGCAGTACACAGGTAATTAAGTTAAAAAAAATAGTAACTAATTCATATGACCACTTTTTGTGTTTGATTCTAATTTAATCTGGCATTATTTAATGATAACATAGTAAGGAATCAAAATAGCCCAACCTTTCAAAACTATCAACCAATGGTGACATACCTTCACCTGTTAGCGACACAATGCTTGAATAGCACGTTCTCTAATAGGGAGTTGGCTCAAGGAATAAGAGGTTAAAATAAGGGCAGTGTCTGCAAGATTCAATACAACCTGTCTGCACTGGGTAAACTAAAATATGCTATGAGACAGTGAACAAATGTGCAATCTCATAGTACGTCTTAACACACACAATATGTCTAAGAATACTTCAGTTGTACTGTGTGAATGAGGTCAAAGGTCATGTTATATTTCAATGTGTGTTCATTGAATTATACTGGAAGTAGTGTTTCATATGAGGGGCCGTAATTCATACTGGTCCTCTCACACACATACATTCTCCTTTTACATACTGTACATACATTTTCATTCTCACACACATATTTCAAAGCACACATTCATACATTGTCACTCACATATTTATACATTTTTCACTCACACATATATACATTTTGCTCTCATATTCATGTATTTTAACGCTCATATTTATACATTTTGCTCTTATCTTCATTCATTTAATGTTTACATTTAATATTATAAATAGTATATGCATGTCTGAAGACAATATATGTATGCAAGAGAAGAATGTATGTATGTGTGAGAGAAAGTATAGTGGAAACGGAAGGAGTATAGTTGAAACGGAAGCATTATCGTGCTGTGATTGGGTCAGAAGGTCGAGCGAGGCGGGCTCATGTTCAGAACTTCTGATTCAAATCAACATGATGGAGGGAGATTAATCCGTGTATCTTCGGACCATTTGTTTTTATTTATTAAAAAAGTAAACGGAAGAGCGTCTGCGAGGCGTTTTTGCTTTTTGTTTTTCATAAATATATAGAACCATTTCTTCAAATAATATATATTTTACATTTGAAATGAAAATAAATATATAATCATTTAAATAATAAATAAAATGTAACATTAAAATAATAATAAGTTATTTTTAATTCCTGAGGTCCAATTCTAATGCATGTTTAAAGTCATCTAAAATAATAACTAAAGAGAAATTAGAGTGTTTATGAATGTACTGTTTATATGTGTGTCATAGTCTCCTCTGACTCTCTACTGACACCAACAGGCTGAACGTGGTACTGCGCAGAACAACAATTAAAAACAGGAGACTGTCAGTGTTTGACATTTGATTTTACTTTTTTTAAAAATGTACATTACAATTTAAGAAGAGCAATCATTTCATTTAAAAAACGTACACCTATGTATACAACGACACCAGTTTATAAAACCATTGTATCCGAAAGACAGCAGCCGACAGAAAAGTTCACAACGTTCACGTAAACGACACGAAAGCAGAACCCGAGAAACCACAAAATAAACCGGGGAAGATTGAAATAAACGTTTAGACAATCAAACCATTTTTTTTTTTTTTTTAAAAGAATTCCATTTGGCAAAGAAAGAGCTTAACTGGACCAACAAAAATACCTATTGAAACTGAGTATTTATTAGAAAACAAACTGATAAATAATGTTACTAAGTCTGAGTTTTGAGCCCAACTTAGAAACAAATATTGGTGTTCAGTAATTGTACTTTTAATTATTTTAAAGAGGATATCCCTACTTATTCTGCACAGTTTGTTTTTCTGTCAAATGCAACTTTTTCATTGAAATAGAGTGAATTTAACGTCAAATAAAATTGTTAAATGCTGGATTAAAAGCTTTCAGACTGAAAATACAAATACAGACATGATTTAAACATAGCTGAATTAGCTGGGTAACAGAAACTTAATCAGGCTGCAAAAAAATATAATTTAACCTGTTAAGCCCTGAGCCTGTTTTTCAGGTCTCAGGCTCGAAAATGACATTCCCAGAACAAATGACCATATCTTCCCTTCTAAAAGGGTTAAATTAATAATCTTTTTCTCAAAGTAATGATAAACCTGTGAGTTGGATGTAGAAAAGTCAGAATCAATATAGATGTTTTTTATTTCAAAAAAAATTCAGATTTTACATAGTAAAAAACTGTAAATTATAGTGTCCGTCCAAAAATTCTTTTTTACTTATAGTGAAAACTACCCTTGGATGATGGGTTAGTAGACTAAAAGCTTTAGGAATCCAAAGTACAACATATAATAAGTACCCTGTATCAAGATTGATGCAAAACAAGTGACATTTGACCTTTTTAGAGAGATTTAGCAAAAAGAAACCACTTCTGGTGTCATTTGGGTGGATCTTCGATATCTCTGGCCCCCCTTGGTCGATTTTGATGGTTGACACCTCTTTCTGACCGTTAGAGCCAATAGAATTGAAGGGGGAGTCCCCCACACACACACTCATTGTGAAACGAAAAGGTGGGGGCATTGCGCATGTAATTTTGCATCAGAGTGAACCTATCTCTAGCTTTGACATCTGGAAACGGAAAAGCAGTTTTAATGCTTATGGATTATCAGAAATCATTTCAAAGGGACACAGACACATTGGATTAACCTATGGATTAACTTCAGCAGCGTTTTTATCGTTTTAATGCCATTGAAGACCACTTTGGAGAGACTACAGAGCCAAGGTAAAAATGTTGGCATTTTTAGCTACCGAGCGTCACCTGTTTTGATGTCCGTTTTTGCTTATAACGTCGCAAATTCGTATAATTCAGTGATAATGTGGGTACCCATCGATTCTGTGTCACCTCACGATGTGAATCGATGTCATGGATGTAGAGAAGAGATAAATAATAAGGTTTTGTGAGTGATTTTCGGTGCAGTAATCTGTTAGCATTTTTCGCTCGTTGCTAATTCAGAGGCTCAGTGTTAGCATTGTGGGTTTTCTTTTGAAAAAAAAAAAAAAAAGATCAGTTAGATGAGTTTCTTCCCGTTACATGGATATAAAACATTCATAGTTTTATTAAATGAACATGCCCTCAGACACTGTTTCCTGCAAGATGTTGCGGCAGTGCCCCGGTACCGGGGTCTCTCGGGCTTAACAGGTTAAAGAGGCTAAAGCTAACAATCCCATTACATATTTATACATTATAACATACATTTATTTAAGCCTTTTCATTTATCTCTTATTTAAAGTAAAATATATCTTAACCTCTTAAGCACGGCGGTCCCCCCATTGGACCCCTCCCACCGTTTTGTTTTCGAGATAATGTCTCAGGGCTTCTTAACATTTATGAAACTATTAATGTGTAGCACCAGATTAACGGGAAGAATCTCAGCTAACTGAAGATATGAACCATTTTTACCAAAACAAAACACAAGTCTCATAAGAAGCGTCTACATGACCCCTGAGCGAAAAAATTCTAACGCACTGCGGCACACAATTCAAGATAAAAATACCCTTATTACTTATCGTAGCTGCACATACAATATAGCCGATTAAAGCTGAGACTCCACTGATTATTTAGGTATAGTATCATCACTGAGCGATCCGAACTTTGCGACAGGGGAAGCAAACACAGACATCACAACACGTACCTTTTACGGCAGATCGTCTCACCGTAGCTGTCAATTAGGTCAAAAGACGTGTTCAATGGCATTAAAACGAAAAAAAAAAATGCTATAACTGTTGATCCATAGGTTGATAATGTACCTGTGCCTTTGAAGAAATTATTTATAATCCATAATTCCATTTTTTATGTAAAAATCGGAGCGGAAAAGTTAGCTGCTAATGGTAGCCACCAGAGTGCATGCAGCTTCCGGTTTTGGTAAGGCGTCCCTCTCACTCCTTATTTGTTAACGTTTTGGTGTGTATATAACTTTCCCTCGATTCCATTGGCTCGAGCGGTTATAAAGAGATTTCATTCATCAAAATCGAGCAAGGGGGGCCAGAGATAGGTCAAATCCACCCAAATGACCCCAGAAGTGGGGTTTTTTGGCTAAATCTCTCTAAAAAGGTCACATTTCACTTGTTTTGCATCAATCTTGATACAGGGTACTTATTATATGTTGTACTTTGGATTCCTAAAGCTTTTAGTCTACTAACCCATCATCCAAGGGTAGTTTTCACTATCTGTAAAAAATAATTTTTGGACGGACACTATAATTTACAGTTTTTTACTATGTAAAATCTGAATTTTCTTTCAAATAAAAAACATCTATATTGATTCTGACTTTTCTACATCCAACTCACAGGTTTATCATTACTTTGAGAATAAAGATTATTAATTTAACCCTTTTAGAAATGAAGATATGGTCATTTGTTCTGGGAATGTCATTTTCGAGCCTGAGACCTGAAAAACAGGCTCGGGGCTTAAGAGGTTAACTGTGATATTTTTAAAAAAGCGGCCCAGGTT